GGCGGCGGGTAGCTGGACGCAGCGAGACGCGATGAAAACGGGCGCGCCATGGCAACGGTGCTCCGAATCTTCGGGGGAGCACCATTGACTGCCTTGCAGCGCTAATATTCCCCGAAAATGAGCTCTCTGCGCAGCTCGTTGCGCTTCAAATTCTTCTCCTTCTACCTGCGCGCCCGCAAGGGCCCCTTCGTTGTTGAACGAGACTAGCAATGCGCGCCTGTTCCCCCCGCTGCTGAAAGCGCCCGCGCCACCCCCCCACCCCGCCCCACCCCGACTCCCCATCGGCCGCTTCCGCCTCGGCCTCCGACCCCCCCCCCCCCCCCGAGAGCGTTCACTGATTGCAGCGTTTGGTCGTGGAGTCGACCTGGCCATCGCAGCGCGATTCGGCACTTTGAACGCGATTGATTCCCCTCGCGCGCCGGCGAAAACGGCGCATCCGCGCGCCCCCCGGGGCGGCAACGACCCGCGATCGCGGCTCCCCCCCGCGGTCTGGCGAGCAGAAATTCCCCGCGTCGAAGACTGGGCCTCCGAAGCCGGGGTACTCTACCGACCGCCCGCGCAGGGGCGAGCTCCAGATCGGGCATTGGCGGCTGCCGAACTCGGGACAATGTTGCGTTGCACCGCGGGTTGACTCCGCGGCGCAGGCAGCGCCGCCTCTCCGCCTTGCACGGTCAGGCCGGGCGCCTCCCGAGTTGGGGTCAATCTATCGTGTGCCTCTCTTTGGGCAAGGTCCTCAGCTAGCTTTTCCATTGACGCTTCCATCTTTCCTGCCCGATCAATGGCGGCGCGCGCTCGATGGGGCTCGCTCGCCGGACAACTGGCGGTGCTTCTTCGCTCGCGAGGTGGGCCCGAGAAGTCGCCAGTGCTTCTCTGTCGCGCGTCGCCTCTCCCGCCAATCGATGAAAACTGATTGCTTTGATTTCCGCCTCTGGCAGAAGCTGGTGGATCTGCGACAACTCTGCTGCAGTTTCCCCCGCAACTCAGTTCCCCGTTCCCATGGCCGCTCGTTCCGCAGACTCTTCCGACTCCGCCCATTTAATCAGAGACAGCCGAGGTGCTTCCGATGCAGCCTGCTGGCCTTGATGGACTTGGTGCTCAGCCTGAAGTAGGGTCCTCTTCTCGCGATTGATTCTCCCAAGGTGCTCATCCTCTTGCGTTTGGAGAATGGGGAATTTGCGCGGTGAATTGATTCGCGGAGCTACTTTTCATTCGCGACGCTTTGCTCTGCCTCTTTACGTTGCCACTCCAGGAAGGCAAGATGACCGCGCGCGCTTTTCATATCGACGCATCCTGAACAAAGCCAACTGGGACCGCAATGCTGGCGCACGCGCGACCAGTCCCCACGCGCAAATCAGAAGCATGGGCCGTTGACGCTAATCGGTTTTCCGGGGCGAATTTTTCCGTTTGCTGGATAGCGCCAGGGCCCTCGGGCCCAACGTCCTACTCGCACGGGGTGACATCCCGAAGAAGCACCATAACCATGAGATCCCTGGCTACTCCTCGACCTAGCACGCAGTCTGGGAGACGACGTCGGAGCGGGGGTCGGCCCTGGAACTTCTTGCGCAGCTGGACATGTATGATCGCCAAGCAAACTCCCAGCTAAGCTGGCAACCGTATAGGCGAGTCATGCTCAATGCTTATGTCGCCAAGTATTTGGGGACGCTTCGCTTCCGGTGTCTCCCCCGCGCTCTCTCTCGCTCGGTCCACCTCAGATGCGGTCGTCGTCTTCTTATAGATGATGGATAAAGTCGGAGAATGCAAGTCATCGTTTCCCATGTTCACGATCGATATTATCCCCTTTGTTCATTGGTTGAAAAACGCCGACGCTCTGTCGTGCGCCAGGACAAAGGGGTCGCCAATCCGAGACATAACGGGAACGCCTGGGGGAATATGACCCATTGCACAATTTCTCGAAATGCTAGGATGATCTCGCGCATTCTCCAAAGGAACAACAAACAAATTCAGATCATCACCTGTGAGAGGAGAGAACGCGTTTCACGGGCACTTGCCTTGGGATATTCGGCGGCGCGTTTCGAACCGGAAAGCGCCCCCCCCAACACTCGGCGCCGTCGATCGAAGCCAGGGGGGCCCCCCTCCACCCTAAACCCCTCCCGAACCTCCCCCTCTTCGGCGCCAGCGCCGGCGGCCGCCAGCAGCGCCGACGGCGGGGGCGCAGCGACGATGACCAGAGGCATCCCAAAAAAACCGGGGGTTCAAACCCCCCCCTTTGGCGCCGGCGCCGGCGCTGGCGGCGGCCAGCCGGCGACGGCGGGGACGCAGCGACGATAACCACCACTGCCACCGCCACCACCACCACCACTACCACCACCACCACCGCCTCAACCCACCACCACCACCACCAACCCACCACACAACCACCACCAGCACCACCAGTACCACCACAACAACCACCACCACCACAACTCACCATCACCACCACCACCACCGCAAAAACCCACCACCACTACCACAACCACCACCATCTACCACGCCACCACCACCACCGCTACAACCACCACCGCTACCAGCAGCACAACCCACCACCACCACAATTCGCCACACCACCACAACCACCGCCACCACCTCTGCAAACCACCGCCACCACCACCACAAACCACCACCACACCACCGCCAAACCACCACCACCACCACAACAAACCAACACCACCACCACAAACCACCACCACACCACCACCCATACCACCACCAACCACCACAACCTCCACCACCACCACAGCAACAAACCACCACACCACCACTACCACAACCACCACCACCGCCACCATCACCGCCGCCACCACCCACCACAACTCACCACCACCACCACCACCGTCGTCCTCGTCGACGTTCCCGCCGCGGCCGCCCGCCGCCACAGGCGCCGGCGCCAGCCTACAAAGGAAATCATCGCCCCCGCCGCCGCTGCCGCCAGCCGAGGAAAGGGAGACAGGAAAAGTAGGGGAAAGGGGGAGGGTTCGAACCCGCCCCTTCGTCACGGGAGGGGGGGGGGTTCGACCCCCCCCCGCTCCATCCAGATGGGGGGGGTTTTAGACCCCCCCTCCAAGCGACCACAAATCGATTTTTTCTTACCTGTGGTCACTTGCACATCAGATGCGACCATCGAGCTTACGGCTGATGCCCAGCGACTCGCCAAAGGAACGCTGTTTCTGGCGAGTGGGCTTTGAGGATGAAACTAATACAATGGTATCATCGCTCAGGGTAGGTGGTTCAGACAATATTTCCATAGTCCGTTAAAGTGTGACCAAAAAGCAAGGGAAGAGAGCAGAAGGGACGACGACGACACCGACGACAGTCCGCAACCTTTCAACTCTCGCGCCGATGGGCCCGCGGTTCCCATGCACAGCGATCCTTGCATTTGCGCGTAAACAGCTGCGGCGGGCGGCGGCATGGAGCGAGCAGGGAGAGAAGAGCAACAGCTTTCTCAGAAGGCGGCGGGACTCATCAGAAACCGTCGCGCCTTCTGACGATTTATATATGTTTTCGGGGGAGGCTTTGACAACTTCTCAGAAGGCAGGGGGACTTCCGAACCTTCTGAGAAGGCCTTTTCCTTCTCACTTTCCCCCCCTCGCTCGCCGCCGATATCCAAGGAGCCAAGGGCCACAAGGCGTAATTACAAAGTCTTCAGCACGCGCTCACACACTGTCCTTCCGACGCGCCGAGGAGTCCAGTCAACCGTTGGCCAAACATCGAACCGACTAAACACACGCACATACGCACGCACGCACGCACACGCACACGCACACGCACACGCACACGCACACGCACACACACACACACACACACACACACACACACACACACACACACACACACACACGCACACACACACACACACACACACACACACACACGCACGCACGCACACGCACGCACCACACACACACACACACACACACACACACACACGCACACACGCACACGCACACGCACACGCACACACACACACACACACACACACACACACACACACACACACACACACACACGCACACACACACACACACACACGCACACACACAACCACACACACACACACGCGCGCGAGGGCACGTACGCACGCACACAGACACACACACACTCACACGCACGCACACACGAGCACACTTTCCGCCGCAACGCTGCAAAGACGATTCGCACACGCGCTCTGATAGCCGGGGATGCGCGGCATACGAATCAACCAGCAACAAGAGACGGATGGAACACATACACACGCATGTGTGTTTCCCTCCAGCGGCGATGTGGCACCACCGTGGCGAAGCGCTAAGCAGGAAAGCGCTTAATTAGGCAACTTTTCCACCTGGCGTAGCAAATTAATGGACTGGATGGTGGCAATCGCTTCCCAGAAAATCGCGAGAATCGCGAAAATGCCATTGCGGTCATGCAAGCACGCGCGCACACACACACACACACACACGAGAGCTTTACCTGGTGCTTCCCAGTATCAGCCAGAGCCAGGCGAGAAGGAAGACAACGGCAGCCGCGAGCCGGAGGAGCGGGGAGGGCAACCAAAAGGCGAGGACGCGACAGAAGGGCATCATATACGGCAGATTCGCGTCGTGACGACCCCGCCGTTGCTTCCTGACACCGCGTGGGGTGTTCAATCTTGAACAGCTGGCGTTTTTTCATCGGGCGATCCTTCAGGTTTTGGCTGGCAATCGTTGGGGGACCAGCTCAGGGGGAAACATCGACCGGCGAAGCATCGCCGATAGATCGGCGATGGGCACCCTGATAGGTGAACAGCACGTTCCTCGGGCGGAGGGGGCTATCGAGCTCTTTATCGACGATTAGTGGGAGAACGGGGGTCGATGCATCCCCCCTGAGCCCATCACCCCCTCACGTTGACCATGAACATTTGCTGACGCTGGGCCATCGTCGGCGTGCCACCGTGGACGCCCACGGCAGGATCGCCGCCGCGTCGAAACGACGCGAGCCTGCCGGAACCTGTCCAGAGCAGGGCGCGCAGGTCGCGGCGACGGCGGCTCCTCGCGCGGCGGCTCGCGGAGGGCGGCGCGACTGGCGGCCGCCAGGGGCCGCGTGAGGAACGGCTCCGCGGCTTCGTCCTTTGCTCCAGGGCCGCGCCCTCGTCGAACCTCATCCCCATCCCCCTCCACCTTCACCTCCTCCACATCCTCCTCCACCTCATCCACCCCCTCCCCCTCCGCCTCCGACTCCTTCGCCTCCAACTCCTCCGCCTACGCCTACGCCTCCTCCTCCTCCTCCTCCTCTTCCTCCTCCTCCTCCTCCATCTATCCCTCCTCCTCCTCGTCATCCTCCTCTTCATCCCTTCTTCTCTCCCTCCCTCCCTCCATCCCTCCACCCCTCCCCTTCGTGCTTCTCCTCCTCCGCCTCCTCCTGACGCTGACGCCGTAGACATGTCGGGATCCGCATGGGATGCTGGCCTCCGCCTCCTTTTCCTTCTCCTCCTGCTCCTGCTCCTGTCCAGCTCCTCCTCCTGCTCCTTTTCCTCCTCCTCCTCCTCCACCTCCTCCTCCTCCTCCACCTCCTCCCCCTCCCTATTGCTACATCTTGTTCCTCCTCATGCTTTTCCTCGTTTCCCCAGCCGATCCCAGACCGTGAAACCCTGCACTCCCGCCTTGGGGTCGCTGCCGCGAAAACGCAGCGCGGACACACCTCACCCTCCTCCTACACCTGCTTATACGCCTCCTCCCCCTCCTCCTCCCCCCCTCCTCCTCCTCCCTCCTTTTCTCCCTCTCCGTCTCCGCCCCCTCACCCTCCTCCTCCCCTCCTCCTCCTCCTCCTCCTCCCCTCCTCCTCCTCCTCCTCCTCCTCTCCTCCTCCTCCTCCTCCTCCTTCCTCCTCCTCCTCCTCCTCCCTCTTGTTCCTCCGCTCCTCCTCATCCACTATCCCTTCCCCTCCATGCCTGCCCCTTGCGAAAAACTCCCGCCTGTCGCACCCCTAGGCGTGCCTGTAGGACGGGCCAGGCATTACGCCTGAGACTTCCTCTCAACTCATCGTCCTTAAGCGTGAGCTCAAAGTCAGCAGCAGTCCCAAGGATGCAGGGCGGGTCGTGCTCAAAATGGAGCTCTCGCCTTGGCGTCGCGTGCCATCGTCTTACACATGCGCAACAGTCTCAAGGATGAAGGCCGGGTGGTTTTCAGAATGGCGCCCTCGCCACAGCGCCACGCATCTTCTTCAAAATGTGTAACAGTTTCAAGGATTGAGGACGGGCTGCTTTCCAAATGCAGCTCTTGCCAAAGCGCCGCGCACCATCGTTTTCAAACTGCGTAGCATTTTCACAGATAAGGAGCGCGTCGCCTTGAAAATGGAGCCATCGTCCTATCGCGTCACACCTTCGTCTACAAAGAGCCTCGACCATGGAGGGCGGTTCCTCAGAGAATGTGGCTCTCGCCCCGGCGCCGCGCACATTCGTCTTAACCGAATGCAGCAGCTTCATGGAATGGAATGCGGTGGTTTCCAAAACGTGGTTTTCGCGTTAGCGACGCACACAGCAAGCTTAAGAAATCTGAAACAAGTCTCAAGATGTGGCTCTCCCCTCAGCGCCACGTACGTTCGTCTTACACGGTTTCAGCATCTTCAAGTGTGAAAGGCATGTTGTTTTCAACATGGAGCTCTCGACTGCGCACTCGTCTGAAACGTTGAATCATTCCACGGATGGAAGCCAGTTTCTTTTCAAGTTGGTGTTCTCGTCTCGGTGCCACGGACATGATGTAAAATCTCGCGTCGGATTGAAAGATTGAGCACTTGTCGTTTTCAACTCGCCTCAAGGCCGCGGCAATTTGTTTTTAAGACGCCGCTTGGCCCGATGGAGGGGTACTCCCGCTGGGGACTTCGCTGATTCCCCGAAAATGCTTTAGAGTAATGGGTTCGTACCTGGTCATAAGGTTAGCCGAGACTTCTGCCGGCTTTGCTGATGCGGTTGCTCTCACAATTGATTTCGGCGAGGGGGCAATTGGCGCTTGTAGCGCTTCCCGGATCCAGGACGGCTCTATTTCAGAAGGTAGCTGTGGCTTAGGACTTCCTCGAAATTCATTGCAACAAGTGTAACCTTGGTCAATCTGTATCAGGATGGGGGCTGTCCTTTTTCGAAAGGAAGATATCGCTGGGCATCTGGTTAAATTCAGTGCTCGTAATTTGACGCTTTGCTGATTACGCGCCAGAGAGATGCAAGGCAATTCTTTTCAAGACGGGGCCCTCTCCAAAATGGCAGGCCCAACTATGCTGGTCCGTCGAGGTGGGCGCTTCCTGTAAAGAAGAGACAAACTTGTAGGAGCGTATGCGGAGACGGCTTAGGACGGGAAGGTGGATTGCAGCATCGCTGCCGAACATTTGCTCACTGTGGGCTCTGCCCCTCCTCCGCCCCTGCCCCTCCTCGCGAGGGGGCCGCAGGGCCGCGGATCCGACGGCAAGACAAAGTCGGCCGGAGACGACTCGGAATCTCTGAAGGCCTGCGGCTCCGCAAAAAGCACCAGGCGCCTCGGCCGTGGGAGAGCGTTCCCGAGCGCTCTGGGAGCCTTTCGGAACGCCGTGGAGCGACTGATCTTCATGCCAGGCGCACCCAACTTGGGAAACGGCACGCCGTGGTGATTCCAGCATGCGGCGCTTGCTTCAAAGACAAGGGCACAATGTTCTTATGCAAGCCCTTGGGCTGAATACGGCTGGCCCCCTTGGAGTCGACGGGGACGTCTGTTTCCTACGCTGCGTAGACCATTCAACCTTAAAAAGATCGCTGCTCCCAGACAGCGCAGAACGCTCGATATCCGCAGATCCTGGGCCTTCATCCCTGCATTCCCGCGAGGGGGTCGCTGCCGCGGCAACGCGGCGCGGACACACCGTACCACTGCTGGTGCTGTGCACACGTGAGGCGAAGAAGCGCCTCCCCCTCCTCCTGCACATCCGCCTCCTCCTCCTCTTCCTCCTCCTCCTCCTCCTGTTCCTCCCCCTGCGCCTCAGCCCCCTGGTTCATCCTGTCCGGTTCCTCCTCCTCCTCCTCCTCCTCCTCCTCCTCCTCCTCCTTCCCCTTCCTCCCTCCCTCCCTCCCTCCCTCCCTCCCTCTCTCCCCCCTCCTCCCTCCTCCCTCCTCCCTCCTCCCTCCTCCTCCTCCTCCTCCTCCTCCTCCTCCTCCTCCTCCTCCTCCTCCTCCTCCTCCCAAGCTGCCATTTAGGTTCCTTGCGTGCGCAGGGCGCGCGCGGGGCGTGATCCATGTGGCCCCAACCAACTGCCCGCCGTCGACGCTGCGCCGCCAAACCAAGCTCGCGGCCCAGGAACCCCTCCCCCTGCCTGGCACAGGCGGGCCCGCCGTGGGCGAGAGAAGGCGCGCCGCGAGCTAAGGCTTCACGCCGCTCGCCGCCTGCATCTGGCGCATCCTCAGGGGCGCCGCGCAGGTCAAAGAGCTCGAGTGCCTCGGCGAGTTCGGAGCCCCAGCCGTGGCCATGCCTCGCCACCGAGCTCTGCGGTTTCCGCACCAAGTTCACCAACAAGGACACGCTCCAACTGCGGGCGCGACCGCTCAGGGCGCCTTCCAGCAGCGGCTGCGACGCCGAAGGCGCCTGCCGCGCGCGCGCCCCCCGGCAGGCCGCCGTCGTCGTGCCCCTTTTGCAGGCGGCCGTGGCGGTGGCGTTGCTGCCGCCGCCGCCGACGACGCGGCCAGCCCCGCCGTCCTCAAGGCTCGCAAGGGGCTGGCTGTCTGGCGGAGCCTGGACTGCGACCCCGCACACCACTGGTCATCGCCGCGCACCGCGAGCTGGACATGCTCGAGGCGGAAGAGCGCCTCTTCCAGCCGCCTGAGCTGCGCCCTCGTGGCCTCCAGTCACGCCTGGCAGAGGCCAGGTCCAACCTGGAGCAATTGGCGCATCTGGAGGAGGCCGAGGCAAAGGTGGCCAGCCTTCGCCAGCAACGCGAAAACCTCAGCGACTCAGTGCCAGCGTGGCCAAACTGGACGGCGAGGTGATCGCGGCTCAGCATGCTGTGGTGGCCTCAGCGGCGGGCTCAAGAGGAGTGGGCTTGGCGGCCGTCGCCACCATGATGCGCGGCCTGTAGACGCTGTTCAGCGCCGCCTCCGCCGCCGATGCCGATAGTCAGCGCGGTGCCCTGCTGGAGCCCATCCACGCCCAGGTGCCGGCCATGCTTTCCCTGCTGCGCACGCCCTGCGGGCAAATGCCGACGGGGGCATGCCTGTTGCAGCCGCCTCTGCGCCCGCAGCTGACCCGCCCGCTGGAACATTCGCTGCGGGGCCATCGGCAACACCGCCTGCCCCTGCCGCCGCGCCAGCCATCTCTGCGGCCCCTGCAGCCCCAGCGACGCCAGCCCCAGCTGCTGCGCCCGATGATCTTCAGTTAGCCCTTTTTTTTTCTGCGCCCCGCAATGTGAGGAGGCGCTGCAGCCTGGGGAGTCGCGGGCATGGGCGACACGCAGGCGTCGTGGCCTGCGAGGCACTGGCCGTCGTGGATCCTCTCTCTCATCACGCACCACGGTTGGTCCTCGAGGTCGCGCCCTGATATGCTTGACAGATGCCAACCTGGTGTTCGGGCTGTTGCGGCACTGGAGCTTCTTTTTGATAGGGGTGAAGTTCGTCGTGCTGAAGGGTGGGCAACTGGTAACGGTTGGTATGCGGCTATCTCTTCTTGCGGGCGCTTGGAGTCTGGGCGGCCATCCGCGGGGCTTGGGCACTTTTCCAAGCGCCGCAGCAGAGCCGCCACCTTGCCCAGGTGCTCGAGCGCGCCTGGGTTTTTTTCCAGCTGGTGCCGCACTTCTGCGTCGCGTGCCGCGCCGACTTCGGCATCGAGGGCGGGCTGATCCTGGTCTCCGCCTACGCCGAGGCTGACGAGCGAATGGGCGTCAACTTCTACAGGTTGCGCGGCTCTGCCCCGGCGCTGCGTGGCTGGAACAGGCCCTCCGCCATGGCTGCCGACTGGAACTGTGATCCCGTGGCGCTCCTGAACCGCCGCTTCCTGGACTGCGCGCCCACCTGGGCTGTCGCGCGGCCTCGCGGGGGGAACGTCGGCGCCTGTTGCGGCGCGCAGGCAACTACAACAGCATCGGCTATTGATTGGCCTGCCTCTCGATCTCGGATGCCGCGTCG